GGAGCCATGCCCAAGCAATCCAAAAAAATGGAGAGATATGTGCAAAGCATCTAAGTAGGAAAATTAAAGCAAGATTAGGGGAGATATGAAATATAGTTGACGTAACTGTGCAGTTGTGGGGGATGGTGGACTAGTTATGTGATCATTGATTATGATAACACATGTTAGTAATTGTATATGCACAACTTATTTTTTTGTTACTACAGCTTCGGAAAAATGACATCACTTTTACTGGTGCACTGATGGTATCTTTGTCAGAAAAATACCCCAATATGTATAACCACACAGGTAGCACAGACACCTTAATCCAATCACCATAGAATGTGCCAAGGCAGATGTTGATTGTCCAAGAACATAAGAGGTTTTAACATTGCGGACCCCCCCAGTTCTAGTTACATAATCCCATCCTTTGTGTCATGATACCTGCATAGGTGTTAATCATTCAAAATTCATGGCTGATGGATGAATCCATCATTTTAACACCTCCCATTCTGTTCTTGGACAATCAACATCTGCCTTGACACATTTCTTGGTGACTGGATTCCTTTACCTATGTAATGGTATAGCTAGTAGTAGTTAGTCACATTCAACTGGACGTGTTCCATTATGTTGAAGATGTCTCATAGCTTATTTAAGCCACTTCTTCAGTTGCATTGAGTGTCAAGAAGATACCAAAACATTTGTATCAACAGAGGAAGCACAGAGACCTTAATCTGATCACCATGGAAAGTGTCAAGTAAGATGCTGATCGTCCAAGAACAGGATGGGAGATGATCGGTGAGTCCATAACTTTCACATCTCCCATCCTGTTCTTGGACGATCAGCATCTTACTTGACACATTCCATGGTGATCGGATTAAGGTCTCTGTGCTTCCTCTGTTGATACAAATGTTTTGGTATCTTCTTGACACTCAATGCAACTGAAGAAGTGGCTTAAATAAGCTATGAGACATCTTCAACATAATGGAACACGTCCAGTTGAATGTGACTAACTACTACTAGCTATACCATTACATAGGTAAAGGAATCCAGTCACCAAGAAATGTGTCAAGGCAGATGTTGATTGTCCAAGAACAGGATGGGAGATGTGAAAGTTATGGACTCACCGATCAACCATGAGAATTGACTGATTAATACCTATGCAGACTTCCTGACACCAAGGATAGAATTATGTAACTAGAACAGGGTGGTCCCACAACCTTCACACCTTCCAACCCCTTCTTGGACAATCTACACATTCTATGGTGATTGGATTAAAGTCTTTGTGCTACCTGTATGAATATAAATTCTGGGCTATGTTCCTGACACTCATTAGAACTGAAGAAGTGGTTTGGATAAGCTACAAAAGATGATAAATGATGTGTCAAGGGAAGTGTGGAGAGAGATATAGTCTCTATGCTACTGAAAGGAATTGTTAATTGGTGAATTAATGAATACTAAACCAAACTAAGTCCGGCTTAAAGGGTATGCATAGCCCAAACTTTTATTTTTGGATACAATTGGGAAGGATAAAACCTTTATCTGTGTTTTTATTTGCTATCCGTGTTCCGCGGGGAGGGAAGGGGTGAGGGAAGTATTCTTCTATCTCCTCTTCTGGAGAGGCAACAGGAAAAAAGAAACCTCCCAAAAGTGAGGAGAATGCCCCTCTTGGACAGTGGTCACTGAAACATTTGTCCCCATTGGATGATTAAGCCTCAACACTTGCATTGATGACACTATATCATTTTGTATTTCCCCTGGCTTTCTGTCTCAGTGATAATGGTCATCAGCACAAATAAAGAGAGTTAATCTCCCCACAAAAAAAACAATAACAACCTGGCAGAGGATCTAACCTTTCCCCACTTCAGCCAAAACTTAAAAAAACATTTGCCTTTACATATACACTGAACAACCATAACTTTATAACTACCCACCTAATATTGAGTAGGTCCCCTTTTGCCATTAAAACAGCCCTGACCCATCCAGGCATGGACTCCACTAGACCTCTGAAGGTATGCTGTGGTATCTGACACCAAGCCATCAGTAGCAGATCTTGTGAGGTGCGGCCTCAATGGATCAGGCTTGTTTTCTCAGCACATCCCACAGATGCGCCATTGGATTGAGATCTGAAGAATTTAAAGTCCAAGTCAACACCTCAAATTTGTGTTCTTTAATCCATTCTTGATCCATTTTTGCAGCATGGCAGGGCACATTATTCTGCTGAAAGAGGCCACTGCCATCCGGGAATACCGTTTCCCTGAAGCGATGTACTTGGACAGCAACAATGTTTGGGTAGGTGGTATGTGTCAAGTAACATCCACATGAATGGTAGGACTCAAGGTTTCCCAGCAGAACACTGCGGAAGAACGGCTTGTCTTCTTCCCATACTGCATCCAGGTGCCATCTCTTCCCCAGGTAAGTGACACAAACGCTTCCGGCCATCCACATGATGTAAAGGAAAATGTGATTAATAAGACCAGGCCACCTTCTTCCATTGCTCTGTGGTCTGGTTCAGATGCTCATGTGCTAATTGTAGACACTTCTGGCTGTGGACATGGGTCAGCATTGGCACCCTGACCGGTCTGCGTCTACACAGTCCCATACACAACAAACTGCGATGTCCAATTTTTCTGTTTTCAACACATAAACTTCAGGGACAACATGTTTACTTGCTGCCTAATATATCCCACCCACTTTCAGATGCCATTGTAATGAGATATCAGTGTTATTTACCTAAGCTGTCAGTGGTCATAAAGTTATGGCTGATTGGTGTATTTTAAAGACTAAATGCGGGTTCAAAACAGTTTAGCTACTTTATACACATGTATTTACTTAAGCTTGCAAACATAACCTTTCACTTTACTTATGCTGTTCCTTTGACCTGAATTGTGATCATTAAAAGACTCCGTCAGTTCAATTTCCGGACAAAATCTTCTGAAGACATAGCGCCCTCTTGGGGGGGGGGGGGTTGTTATAAAAAATATACATACCCTCATCAGGCAGTACCTTGCTACTGCCAAGAAAATCTCCCCGCACACCATGATACCACCACCACCCATGCCTGAACCCTTGATACAAGGCAGGATGGATCCACCACACCATGACACCACCACCACCAGCCTGAACCATTGATACAAGGCTGGATGGATCCACCACACCATGACACCACCACCACCAGCCTAAACCATTGATACAAGGCAGGAAAGATCCACCACACCATGACACCACCAGCCTGAACCATTGATTCAAGGCAGGATGGATCCACCACACCATGATATCACCACCACCTGCCTGAACCATTGATACAAGGCAGGATGGATCCACCACACCATGACACCACCACCACCAACCTGAACCATTGATACAAGGCAGGATGGATCCATGCTTTCGTGTTGTTTGCGCCAAATTCTGACCCTACCATGTGAATGTCACAGCAAACAGTCTGCCCCATTCTCCTCTGACCTCTGAGATCAACAAGGTATTTTCGTCCACACAACTGCCGATCACTGGATATCTTCTCTTTTTTGGACCATTCTCTGTAAACTCTAGAGATGGTTGTGCATGAAAATCCCAGTAGATCAGCAGTTTTTGAAATACTCAGACCAGCCCATCTGGCACCAACAACCATGCCACATTCAAAGTCACTTAAATCCCATTTCTTCCCCATTCTGATGCTCGGTTTGAACTTCAGCAAATTGTCTTCACCACGTCTACATACCTAATTGCATTGATTTGCTGCCATGTGATTGGATGATTAGCAATTTGTGTTACCAAGCAATTGAACAGGTGTACCTAATAAAGTGGCCGGTAAGTGTATATCTTTGGGACTCCTGATAGATGTGAACGTATCCTTGCCTTTTATGATTGGCTGGCAGGGATTTAAAGACAGCATGCACATCTAAAGGGCTGCTGGCAATGCCTTCTTCACAGCTTATCTACTCTTCCGTTCCTCAGCGGCTTTCCTTTTGTACATGTTTCCAGACAATTCACAGAAGCCACGTGCTGTGCAGAAATGATGACTAGGGACGCTGGCATTGAATCAAGCAGGTATGAGGTATAACATAACAGTGCCTTTGTTATTTTCATCCATTTAAAAGGAAGAATATGGAAGAGGGGAGAACAGTAGGATTTGGGTCCTAAAGATGGACTGTCCCTATCTGGTCATATTGATACCTGTAATATTTCTGTTATTTCTAGGAAAATATATTTACTAAATGCAGATGATAATTAATGAATCTCTACAAAAATGCAGCTGCAACAGTGAGGGTCAACTATCATTGCAATTTCAACACATAGATAATTAACTCGTAGTGAGAAACCAATGGAATTTGGGCAGTTTGGGATTAAAGTTACAAAATTGCAAAAAAAAAGTAGCAACAAAGATATAAGAAAAGGGAAGCATGAGCCTCAGGTCAAATGTTGCAAAGTAAACTTTCCTTGCTCTTGTCCTGCATAAGCTCAGAGGGAAGACACATAGGGCCCAAATTACTAAAATATGAAGCAAGATGAGCATTTACTTCAACTTTTCTTGATTCCTGCTTTATCTACCTGCTGTGGTATACTATTCTTTAAAGCAGCCTTTCACAACCTTTTCAACACATAGGAATTAACTTTCTGGTCTCAGCAAACCCAGCTAAAAATGACTACATCTACATATCATGGGCAAATGATCCTTAAACTTGTGGTGATTGGGAAAAATTACCCCTTGCAGATAGCTAAAAAAGATCAATGGTGTCAGTGGAAACTTATCTGAGAGGCAAAAATTGCCAATTGCTCAAGGAACCCCTAGCAACCGCTGGAGGAACTCTAGGGTTCCATGAAAGCCTGGTTGAGAAATTCTGCTTTAAATAGTACTGATCACTGTGAGTAGAATGACCACTGATATCTCACTGACTTGGCTGTAAATGGTACTCATGCACAATTTAACTTCTGTAGAACAGACATTCTCAACCAGTGTTTCATAGAACCTTAGGGTTACTAAAAAGGTTGCTAGGGGTTTCGTGACTTGTGTCTGATTTACCTCCAACTTGATGGTGCCTGCATGGTTCCAATTTCAACACCACTTGGTAGAGCCAATCAGAATGACACCAATTATTTTTTTAATTGTCTCTAAGGGTGGCATTTGGACCACCTATGTAAGGATGACATTCTTCCTATTGACCACCAATGGGAGGAACATTCTTCCCGTTGACCACCAGTGTAAGGATATTCTTCCCTCTAACTAGCAATGTAAGGAGCATTCGCCACATTGACCAGCAATGTAAGGGACATTCTTCCCAATGGCCACCAATATAAAAGACATTCTTCCCACTGACCACCAATGGAAGGAACATTCTTCCCATTGACCATCAGTGTAAGGATATTCTTCCCTCTAACTAGCAATGTAAGGAGCATTCGCCACATTGACCAGCAATGTAAGGGACATTCTTCTCAATGGCCACCAATATATGGAGCATTCTTCCCACTGACCGCCAATGTAAGGGACATTCTTCCCACTAACCACCAATGTAAGGGACATTCTTCCCACTGACCGCCAATGTAAGGGACATTCTTCCCACTGACCACCAATGTAAGGGACATTCTTCCTACTGACAACCAATGCAAGTAACATTCTTCCCACTGACCACCAATGTAAGGAACATTTTTCCCACTGACCACCAATGTAAGGGACATTCTTCCCACTGATCACCAATGTAAGGAACATTCTTCCCACTGACCACCAATGTAAGGAAAATTCTTCCCACTGATCACCAATGTAAGGGACATTCTTCCCACTGATCACCAATGTGAGGAGCATTCTTCCCACTGACCACCAATGTAAGGAGCATTCTTCCCACTGATCACCAATGTAAGGAGCATTCTTCCCACTGACCACCAATGTAAGGGACATTCTTCCCACTGACCACCAATGTAAGGAACATTCTTCCCACTGACCACCAATGTAAGGAGCATTCTTCCCACTGATCACCAATGTAAGGAACATTCATCCCACTGATCACCAATGTAAGGAGCATTCTTCCCACTGATCACCAATGTAAGGGGCATTCATTCCCACTGATAACCAATGTAAGGAACATTCTTACCACTGACCGTAAATGTAAGGATAGCATTGACTGACCTCCAAAGAATTAATTTTTTTAGTACCCTTGGATCTCAATATTATTTTATTTCGTATCTTTGGAGTAAAAGGTCAAGAAAGGTGTCTCTAGAAAAAAAAGCAACACATACAGGTGAAGACTTTTTATGCTAAACCAGAACTAATGGTAAAAAAAATAATTACACGTATTTTTAATACTGCAAAACAAAAATCCTTAAAATTCCTACAATCCAATGCACACCAGAAATCAGGCTGAAAATGGGAGTGCCAGTACAGGGAAAGACAGTAAGAGAGTAATAGAAATCTAATAAAAATGATAACTCTTCCAAATGCCATCCAAAACTAAATAAATGTTTTTGACTGGAGTTGGGCTTAAAGAGGTTCACTTTCACATTTATACCCTCCCCCCCCAAAAAAAAACAATAGATTATAGTTCCTCTATAAGGTCAGTATTCAGCTCTACAGCACCTAGTGCTTTGTGTCAATGTAAGTTAATAATACCATAACCCTCTACAATATTATTCTTGAGTAGCAATCTATAGTTATGTCTGTATCCCTACACCAAGCTTCTGCCAACGTATCTCTTGTAGACAGTGCAAATAAGAGGACACCGATATCCATGTAACCCCTTCCCAATATGGCAGTGCCTGGGCCGCACATCCACCAAGGCGTGTAAAAAAGAAAATGACCGTTATCGCAACTAATGCAAACCACCAGGAGGGCACCTGTTTCGACATTCCCAACCAATAGGAAGGCGCGATCGGAGAGCCCGGGAACAGCTGGCCGCAGCAGACAGGGGGTCAGCTTGTTTTTATATTGGAAATGGTACAGAACATCCTCTAACAGCTGAACAATAAATCTCTTCTGGACTATAGTATGTGTGAATGACGGCTTTCAAAACCTAAGCGGAAGGGCCATTCTACGAGCCAAGAGGCTGAGCCGCACCTGTAGGGCTATACGTCTATGCATTAAATATGTATATGGAAGCACGCACAGACACAGAAATATTTATGGGATATGGGCAAGTGTGCTGTGTGCGTACAAGTGAAGAAAGATGGGTGAATCTTTTGAATCTAATTATTTTCCACCTGAACTAAGCATTCAGACTTTTCTGAAATGTACAGAATCCTGCAATTTACTTGACTTACTAGGACTAGGATATTTCAAACTCTATGGCAAGTTGGCACTCTTGATGTTAGTATTGATGTAGTAAACAAAATGGGAGGGTTGGGGGTAGGTAGGTCATCAGGGTAATCAGGAGGGCAACCGAACCGGATATCGTATGTACTCTCCAGCGCCTCAGGATATGCACAGCCAAAAGGGAAGCCAAGGGTACCAGGACAGCGACAACCAAAGGAAATGCTTCAGGGGTGCAGCCCTCCTCAGACGGGGAAATCAGCCACTGGATAGAGAGAAAACAGGTGGCGCACACACCTAGTGCATTATCCAAGGTTTATTGTAAGGAGTGAAAGAATAATAAAAACATACTCACAGACGAAGCATAGAACAATGACAATGGCCACAACGGCAGGCAAGGTGTTCTCACTGTCAGTGCGGTCAAATACTGACGCGTTTCGGGGACAAATCCCTTTCCTCAGAGCTGATGACCAGCCTCTGATGCAGATGTGTGATGAATGGAAAGTAGGAGCCTTGCTGTTGATGGCCCGTTGTGGCTGTTGTCATTTTTCTATGCTTTTTAGATACATGCGTCGTCTGTGAGTATGTTTTTATTATTCTTTCACTCCTTACAATAAACCTTGGATAATGCACTAGGTGTGTGCGCCATCTGTTTTCTCTCTAATCAGGTGGGCACCCTCCTGCATGGATGTTTTCCATTGATGAGCTCATTGTGTCTCAAAAGGGCTTAATGGTGAGACCTGCCGTTCCAAGCCATCCCAAGCATACCCCCCCCCCCCCCCCATCCTCCCCAGTTACTGATCTAGGCAAATCAGACCTAATTACAGTATTAAAATTATGCATTTTTATCAATGATTTGTGAATATTATATATTAGCAGGGCCACACAGTGTAGTCAATTTGGTTGAAAAATGGCCAATAGCCAATGTCCATTCCTTGCAGTCTTTTCCTGCAGATCCTAATTGATTAAGTACAAAGACAAAACAATAAAGCTGCATGAACTGATATCTACATTGTTGGGAAGCTCATCCAAAAAGATGAGATTTTCCAAAATGGTATAAGTTTGCTCATCTTTTTAATGACATTGGCCTGTAAGCTCCTCTGGGGCGGGAACTGTCATGAATCATATTATATGTATAATCCTGTAGATTTTCTTAGAGTTCTGTAAACAAGTGAAATAAATAAAGACTGCTGTTTGCAAACACTGAACATGCAGCGAAAAAAACTGAATAAAACCAGACAATAAATGGGGATGTTGTCCACTGAAACCAGTCTGGTTTCATCTGTCATGTGGTTGGCTGTCATGAGCTTCAGCTTGAATTTTATTTTGTTTTCACAAATCAACCCTAAAGGACCTTACGCATAATTAAGGTGGTGCAAAGCTGCACAATACATTACTGCCATGGAAGATGATGGATTACTATTTGTTGAGTTTATTTATGTGTATAGCGCTGATGTTTATTTTTTGCAATGCTTTATAAAGAACATTGTAAATAGATATCCAGCCTGACAGCCACTGTACTAACCATCTCCATTCTTATGCAGGCCATAGATGGGTCAAAAACTGACTGTTTTTTTAACAAAAAAACTAAAAATCGGTCGTTCAATAGGCCGATGTTACCACCAATGGTAAAAAAAATCGGCAGATTTTCGTCCCGTCTACGGCCGGCATTTAATTACTTCTGTCCCTGCAGAGAGCTCCCGCTATTATATTTGACATGAAAAAGTATTGCGGTTGCAACAATGTATCCATTTGTATCCATTTCGGATACAGATGGTTTTATTTGGATACAAATAGATACAATGTTGCAACTGCAATACTTTTTCATGTCAAATATAATAGCAGACTGTAATTCTTTTTCTTCTTTTTCTTTATCTTTTTCTTCTTCTTTTCTTCTTCTTTTTTCTTCTTCTTTTTCTTCTTCTTTTTTTCTTCTTTTTCTTTTTTTTTTCTTCTTCTTTTTCTTCTTCTTGCAGGTCACGGCTCATGTGCAGATTTTTTATCGGTAAAAAGATCGGCCGATTTGCCCGTCATTGCGCAAAAATCAGGCGGCAAAAATCGGACGATTTTTTTCCAACTTTACCAATAAAAAAAAATGTGCCAAAATCCCGAAAAACGGTCGACCTATTAACCCACTAACGATCAAAAAATTGGCTGATTTTTTTTTCCGGGCCGACAAATCGGCCAATTTTCGACCCATCTATGGCCTGCATTACTTTATCGTTCCTGTTACAGCAATTGTGTCCAGGTGTGTCTAAATAACACTTTGAATGTTTAACTTTTTAAAACCCAGTGCTCTCCACAATCAGTACTCAGTAACATACCTGGGAAACACTCCCTAACCTTCATTGCAATAGAAGTCTGTGTGAGGACACATGTGATAAGAGATGTACGTAGCTGTTACTCAGCTCTGCCAGCATAAATCATAACATGTGGGGTACAGCAGAATGAAGAGATAAAAAGGTGTGAGACTTCAATTGGGCTTTAACTACCTTCAGAAGATTTTACCCCCTTCAGGACCAGGCAATTTTTTCTATTTAGCACTGCGTTTCTTTAACTGGTGATTGTGCGGTCATGCAGATGAATGCCAACAAAATTTATGTCATTTTGTTTCACACTGGGTTTTTAATTTTTGTGATATAAACAAAAAAAAACAAATACAATTTTGAAAAAAAAACAATATTTCTACTTTCTGCTATAAAACATATCCAATGAAAAAAAAATTAAAAAAAATCAAATTTCTTCACAAATGTTAGCAAAAATGTATTCTTCTACATGTCTTTGGTAAAAAAAAAAATCAGAATAAGTGTATATTGATTGGTTTGCGTGAAAGCTATACTGTCTACATACTATGGTATACATACTGGATTTTTTATTGATTTATACTAGTAATGGTGGTGATCATCGACTTATAGTGGGACTGCGATACTGTGGTGGGCAATCTGACACTAACTGACGCTGAGGGAAACTGGCTAACTGCCACTGACATCCTCAGTGACACTAATACAGTGATCAGTGCTAAAAATATACACTGTCACTGTACTAATGACACTGGCTGGGAAGGGGTTAACATTTAGGGCGATCTAGGGGTTAAATATGTGCCTAACAATGTTTAGTGTGTGTAATGTGTGCTTTTTTTACTAAGCAATGTGCCGGTGGTGGAGGAAAAAAACAGCACATTGCTGCTGTCAGTAGAGAGCTCTGTGTTATCTACCAACAAAGAGCTCTCTCCTGTCATTCTCTCAGCTGATCAGCGAGTTCTGGCCATAAATCACTGGTTGGGGACCCACTGATTGACTTGTGCTGCAGCAAATGACAGCACGGTCTTCCAGGTCCATGCATGCATCCGCGAGCGGACCCGTAAGAAAGCCACAACATACAGGTATGTGATTGTGGCTGTATAAGCCAACCTATCACAGTAAATGTACTGCAGGGGGTTGGCAAGTGGTCAGGCAATTGCTGTCAGTCCCTGCCCTCTCCCAGCCTAAAGAGCATGTAACCCAATGTTCCTACCACAGGCACACACCAAAACAGTATTAAAGTAATGCAAATGAAATTTAATCTCCAAATACGGAAAGGTTTCTTCACAGTGAGAGCTGTGAGAATGTGGAATAGACTCCCTCAAGAGTTGGTTCTGACCAGCTCAGTGGATTGCTGTAGGAAAGTCCTGGATTCTTTCTTGGATACACAGAATATAACTGGATA